TGCTAGCCTTTGGCACAAAAGCTCAGGGGCAGCACTCGGCCCTGAGTTCAAGCCCCAGGACGGGCACCGGAAAAAAAAACCCCAAACCTATTCAAATTAGTTCTTTAACATAGTAAATGTAAAACCTGTTCAAATTAGTTCTTTAACATAGTAAAAGTAAAGCCATATAATTTCCGCTTTCAACTGCAAAGACAGACCTTTTCCCAGATAGTACCATTAAGGATAAACACACCCTTTTCAAGGGAAAATTCATTGGTCTTGTTTCTCCTAACAAAGGAATGAACACTTAAGAGTTGGTGTTTAGAAGACACTAAGGTTTTAACTTTTCACAGGATTCTACTTCTTCAAGAATACTGAAAAATTGGGTTAAAATTGAGGATGGGGGTCTTTCTAGTGGAAGCAATGTATGTAATTTGGAGCTACAGGCAAACTTGATAGCAAGAGAGAAATACTCTAAAATATAGGCTATGCTTAACTCACTTTCTCAGCCTAGTTGGCATCCTGTTGCATATTACCACATAGAAAATGTGTCCATTTAAGGCTAAATTTTATCTCTCCTGAGCTTAATTCATGAAAGGAAAAGTTCCAAATGTGTTTGTGAAAATGGCTTTTTGGCTTTGCAGACTATTTTAAAAGCTAAAATTTCTGAGTAACTACTTTTGTTTAATTTCTGTAAAATGTGAAAAGTTAATGTCAACCTTAACTGTGTTAAAAGAACCTTGTACAATAATTTTGTGTATTTTAGCTTCAGTATAAACAAAATAAAGCATTTGTTTTTTCCTCCCAAAATGTATGGCTACTTAAAAATGCTTTGTTCCTCCCTTTTCCAATGTAATCATTTATAGTTAATGATTATTAATAAACATTATGAACAACAGTGGATTTCACATAATTTAACCAGCAGAAATAATAACTGGAGATTTCAGAATCCAAACTATTTTGAAAAGGGCATGGCTGAGATTTAATTTCTATCTTTCCCATTAAACAAGGTTATGATTATTACTTAACAATTTAATTATCATTCATAAAGCGTTGAGATGATGAAGGGACCAACACAAGTATAAAATTAGTTACAGCCAGGCACTGGTGGCTTACACCTGTAATCATAGCTACTCAGTAGTCATAGATGTTGAGGATCATGTTTCAAAGGTACCCAGGGCAGGAAAGTCTGTAGGACCAGAAAATTGGAAGTGGAGCTGTGGCTCAAAGTGGTACAGCATTTTCCTTGAGCAGAAAAGCTGAGGGACAGCACCCAGGCCCTGAGTTCAACCCCCATAACCAAACAAAATACAAAACTATAATGAGTCAGGAGGCTGAGATCTGAGGATTGTTGTTCAAAGTCAAGCTGGAGTAGAATAATCTCTGAGATTCTTATCTCCAATTAACCACGGAAAAAGTGAAGTAGAAGCATAACTCAAGTGGTAGCCTTAAGCAAAAAAATGCTTAGAGACAGTGCTCAGGCTCCACCAGCAAAAAAGAAAACCATAGCTTAAAACACTCAAAAACATTCACAGGCCTGAGCCTAAGAAATTATCTTATTACTGAGTTTTATAGTATGATGTGTTTTGTATGAAACAATTTGAATCTATTGAGTCAGTTGAGGTTGTTAATCTGGTTATGATTAGTAAAATCTGAACACATTTAAATATTTTAAGTATCAGTTGATATTTCTTTTTAATATTTTTTGAAGTAACAGATTTCAGTGATTATCTTCCCTCTAATTCAGATTGTGAAGTCATCTTATTACATTTGACTAATTAAACTTTTAGGCCAGAGCATCATATAGCATTCCAGAACAGCTTATTTTTAGCTAAATAACTCATCTGTAGGTTCTGGCCTAATTATTTTCAGCATAAAGGAGTGTATATAATTTTTATCCTAGTTACTATGAAGGGCAATTCAAAAAGCAGTCAAATATCGGACAAAAATTTCCAACCAGCATAAAGTACTCTAATGCAATAATGAAATTGATCTGAATATACTTCTCAAAGGAATGTATACATCTAGTGCATGAGTACATGAAAAAATGCTTTACATGAAAAATATAATAAAGGAAATGCAAATTAAAATGGCAGTAAACCACAACTTACTACACATTTTCTAGAATGACTTTAAAAATAAAAGGATACGGCCAAATTGACAAATTGAATTCTCATTTGTTGCTGATCAGTCTAAAATTACACAAGCCCACTATGGGATAATGTCTAGTAGTTGTTTGTAGCTGGCACAGGCCTGTAATCCTAGCTGAATTTTCAGGAAGCTGAGATTAAAGGATCATGGTTCAAAGCCAGCCTGGGCAGAAGAGTCTCTAAGCCTATCTTCAGTTAACCACTAGGACACCAAAAATGGCACTGTGGCTCAAAGTGGTAGAGCATTAGTCTTAAGCAAAAGAGCTCAGGGACAGCACCCAGGCTGAGTTCAAACCCCACAACTGTCAAAAAGAAAGAACCCCCTAAAAAATGGCTTAAAAAGAGGGAAAGGTATCAGAGTGTAATAGAGCAAGTGAAATTGATTAAAGTACATTATATACATGTATGGAAATACCACAATAAGACTCATTTGTACAATAAATATTAATATACTAAATTAAAAAATAAAAGCCCATTTTCTCTCATAAGGTACTGATGAACCTTATGACAACCTATCCAAAACTTTATAAAGATTTGATTTTAATTTAAAAATCTATTTTTAAAAACTTGAACTCTTACTAACTTCATAAGCAAACTTTTTTCCAGATGACCAGAAATCAAGATAATTTTCTTTTTTTTTAATTTAAATTTTAATTTTTTGTGAACATATCCTCAAAGAAACAACTGCCCAATAAATAAGTGGGCGAAAGACTTAAAGAGAAACTTCTCTGAAGAAGAAAGAAGGATGGCTAACAGACACATGAAGAAATGCTCAACCTCCCTAGCCATAAAAGAAATGCAAATCAAAACAACATTGAGATACCACCTCACCCCAGCTAGAATGGCTATAATCAAGAACTTTAACAACAACAGATGCTGGAGGGGATGTGGACAGAAGGGAACCTTACTTCATTGTTGGTGGGAGTGTAAACTTGTTCAACCACTTTGGAAAGCAGTATGGAGGTTCCTGAAAAGACTTCACATAGAGCTCCCCTATGACCCAGCAATCCCACTTTTGGGCATTTTCCCCAAATGTTTACAAACAAGACTACACTAAAGCTACTAGCACAACTATATTTATTGCAGCATTATTTACCATAGCTAAGATAATTTTCTTATATCATTTAGAATTTCCAACGTACACAAAAGTAAAAGTATATTGGACCAAAACTTCAATGGTTATTTAACAATGATACACAATCTTTCTCCTACAAACCTATTCCCAACATGAAGCATTCCCAAACAATCTAAGGTAGATTTACCAAACAAAATTACTTGAACTGAATCTTTCTTTTTTTTTGGGGGGGGGGGGTCGTGGGGCTTGAACTCAAGGATTGGGCACTGTCCCTGCGTTCTTCAGCTCAAGTCTAGTACTCTACTGCTTGAGACACAGTGTCATTTCCGGTTTTCTAGTGGTTTATTGGAGATAAGAGTCTCAGACTTTGCTGCCTGGGCAGGCTTTGAACCGCGATCCTCAGATCTCAGCCTCCTGAGTAGCTAGGATTACAGGCGTGAGCTACCAGCTCCCGGTTGAAGTGAATCTTTTTGAAGTTATATTCCCCATGACTAAAATATATTGCAGGGAAAATGGCCTGATAATTTAGGTAGGAGGGAAGGTAGGTATTCTAGACAGATAGCTTCCACTGAAAGTTAATAGTCTATGTAGGATGGGAGGAAACGGAAACCAGGGGATTGTTGTTTGCTACAGTGGGTCTCATAAATGAACACACTTACAACTTACCCCACCAACAAAGAAAGCTGGAAGGGGAGCTCTGACTCAAGTAGCAGAATGCTATCCTTGAGCAAAAGAAGCTCAGGTACAGAGTCTAGGCACTAAGTTCAAGGCCCAGGAGTGGAATAAAAACAAGTTACAAAGAGATTATTCCATATTATAACCTTAACCAAAAACTTTATATAAAACAAACTGTAGGAAGGACAAAATGACACCCTACAAGGTTAAACGAGATATTAAAATATTAGCATACACACAGTTGGCATTTTTTGGTGGTACTGAAATTTGAACTCAGGTCCTCATGCTTGTTAGGCATGTATACTACCATTGAGCCACACCTCTCACCCCTATACAGTTTGGCTGTTGGAAAGATAAGTGTATTATCATGATCATCCATTAAATTTTTCAGATATCAATTGGTAGATGAAGGCATTCTTAAAATTCAAGGATATAAAACAACAACAACAACAACTACAACAAATGGTGAGTAGTGTGTCTATTACGAATCAGAATCCTGTAAGTAGTTTGATGGTCTATTTGGGAATCATTGTCAATCATGTTGAGGCTAGAGGACTGAAGACGTACCTTCTCTATAAAGTATTACACTTTATTACTGTTCAAGCACCTCAAGAAATAGGTCTAAAATAGTTCCTTTTACCTGGGGAAAAACTGCAAAGTGAAAAAAGATAGACTGCTTCACAAGTATAAATGTGGGTTATTTTGATAGTTGAAAGATAAAGGCAAAAAAGAATGATAAAGTATGTTTCACAGGAAGTCAGAGTTATCAGGCCTTGAGAGATTTTAACTAGAATAGAAAAATTTACAAGATATGAACAACTTTTGGAAGTATGACACATTGAGAAAGTCTATGTTAAAGTTCTATAAGAGGGTAGTAACTTTTTTTAAATAAAAAACAAAAACAAAACCAGAAATACAGCATGGTACTATGTATTGCAATGACCTGAGATTCAAAACATTTCAAGTGGTCCTGCAAATAAATACTCTCCTCCAGTTCAATCTTTAAATTCTTATTTTTTTGCAACCAAAATGACAGAGAAAACATTTTGAAACAAATGTCTGGTAGTATATGCTTTGCTACCATGAAAATGAAGAAAAGAAGAAAATCACACTCATTTATGGCAATTTTAAATGCTAGTTTTTATTTACTGGTAATTGTGCAAAAACACCAATTTAATACTGCACAGAAAAACAATCATGTAAATCAAAAATTAAGCAGTAAATATGGAATAAATTTTAAACCAAGCACCATGTTCCTTCAAAACTGATATCACAGAATACAACTCCAGTCATATAATTAAAATAAATCTGGAGAACTCTCTCAGTTAATATTTAGTAGCTAGAATCAAAGGCTCTATGCTTTGATGCTTTACTTTCCAGGAAAGTAGAAATAATTCTAATTTTGAGCAGTTTAATACACTCAAAATAACAAAGGAAATAATTGGTATAATTTATTCCATTTGTCAATTGGCATTATCAACTAATACAATGTTGACAAGCTGGCTGATAGAAAAATAATATAAGGCTAGTTATACATCCTTCTCAATTTTCTTATTCAAAAACTCAAAAGTAACATTCTTCATTTTAAAGGACTACTTTAAATTTAAAAAATCTTAAAGATAGATACAATAGCGTAAGCACTTTTACCACCAAAATTATTTATACATAGGAGACCTTAAGAAAAAAAAAGCAATCAAAAGGCAGTGCAATAATACTTCATACTGCTGAATCTTACATATTCTGAGGTATGTAATGAGAAGCCAAGTGAGGTGAAGCAGTATAGCCAACTGGGACAGGATTTATAGCACCATGGATTTGCGAAGAACCACCATATGTTGCACCAACAGGATGCCAATTGGTAACATAGGGATAATCTGGCATAACAGGAAAGCAGGAATCAAAACCTGGCAAAGGGGGTTGTCCATAATGATCTGACATTACTGGATAATAGACTGTTCCATGAGGGATAGATACAGGGTCAGGATTTGGAATAATATCTGAAACAAAAAATGAATTCAATATATTATACAAAAATGTACTAGCAAATAAATGGATACTCTTACAAGTAAAAATTAAAAGTTACTAATTGTGAGATCACAGAAACTAAAGCAGAAACACATTAGATATATGCAATAGTGTCCACAGTGACCTACCGAAAGATTACATGAAAATATCCCAATAAAAAAGCTTATGTGCTGGACACTGATGGCTCATGCTTGTAATCCTAGGTACTCAGTAGGCTGAGTTCTGAAGATCACAGTTTCAAAACCAGCCTAGGAATGGAAAGTCCATGAGACTCTTATCTCCAATTAACCAGAAAACAGGAAGTGGCACTGTGGCTCAAGTGGTAGAGCGCTCTCCTTGAGCTGAAGAGCTGAGGGGCAATGCCCAAGCTCAGAGTTCAAGCCTTATGACCACCACCACCAACAACAAGGCTTATGTTGTTTATATATAAGCAAAAATGCATAAATATTCTCCAGTATTATTCTAGTAATCTAGTTGACTAAAATTTAGAAGAGGTGGCTATAGTTATTACCTTATTGTTTTACAGTATTAGCACATGAACTCTAAATAGTTAATTTTGTACCACTTTAGCAATGACAAAATTCCCAAGTAGCTATACCATTTGGTCTATATTTGAAGAGATAGTTCTGAAAAATTCCTAAAGGATCTTCTCACAAGTGTTATCCTAGCATCAAATTGGGCACTGGTGGCACTCTATAATCCTAGATACTAAGTACACTGGTATCTGGAGGATCACAGTCCTCCTGTTCAGCCAGGCAGAAAAGATTCCATCTCCAAATACTAAGAAAAAAAAGGCAAAGCTAGAGGCATGGTTCAATTGGAAGAGCTCAAAACGAGCAAGCAAGTCAAACAAGTAGAAGGGCTCTGAGCTCAACTTCTAGTACTACCCAAAAAAAAAACCCTATCATGTTAATTTTGTATCAGATTTTCTGCCACCAATCACTTTTGGCGGAAACAGATGTTATTCTGACTTTACTATATTGACTATACAAACTAATCAAAAAGGACTCTTTCATTACTTAGGCTAACATAGGCTAACATTTTGTAAAATTAAAAGTGCTAGTCTCTTTGTTTTCTATAATTATAAACAGCTCTTAAAAAGGTACATTGTAGCTGGGTACCAATGCTCAAGCCTGTAATCCTAGCTACATAGAGGCAGCCGAGACATCTGAGGATTGCAGTCCAATATCAGCTAGGGAAAAATCCCAAGAGCTTTTTCTAAGTAACTAGTAAAAAGCCAGATGTGGAGATGTTTCACACTGGTAGAGTATTAGCCTTGAGAAGAAAAAAAAAAGGTCAAGGCACTGAGGTTGGCACACAGGAAAAAATAAACAAAAAAAATAAACTGTACAAAAATATACTGAAGATTAACATTTTTATTACCACTTCACACCAGCACACTAGGGATAACAGCATCTCAGACTAGTAACATCTGCAAACCAGTAACATGATTTAAAGAGGGAAGAAGAAGAGAAATCAGCATTCCTAGTATGGCACTAGGAATAGTATACATGAGGGCTTAAAACAGATTTTTTAAGCACTTATATTTTTACTATCTTTAGTTCAAGGATACAAACCATATGTCAGTTTATGAGTACACTCATCTAGATCAATTTCCTATTTCCTATTCCTATTCTATCAGTTTTAGGGAGAATGAGTAAGTAGCCAAAATCACCAACAGTGAGTAGCAATGCTGGAATGTGAAACAAATTTGGTTACTTCTTACCATTTCTTCTACCTTACACTTCTTTTTAAGAAGGCAAATTCAAAGATCCTACTCTAAATTCATCCAAATACTTCCTCATTCTATTATACTGTGAACGCATATTATGAAGTTTTTGATCTCATAATCCCTTTACACTTAAAAAATTGAGAATACCAAATAGCTTTCGTTTATGTAAGATATAGTTAATATTTACTGTTAGGAATTTAAATGAGAGGTAAAATAGTAATCCATATAGCAGGCATATTACATGCTAACATTTTTAATAAAATTAAGCACTTTCCAAAACAACAAAACAAGGAAGAGTATGATTATGCTGTGCCTGTACAAATTTCTAAAGCATGACTAAATAGAAGATACCAGGATTCCCATAGTGCTCCTGCTATTTAATCTATTGTATATTGTTTTAAAGTATATGAAGAAATCTGGCCACATACAGCTAAGTTATCAGCAATGATGTTGAGGTTTTTTTTTTAATAATAAAGCTTTTCAGGTTATTGAAGATATTCTTTGGTGCTTCACAAAAAGAACAGAAGTGGTAGTTTTTCTAAGACCAGTAGTAATGTGGACTTTCCATATTCTGTTACATTAAAATTATTATTAGAAGTGGCACTGTGGTAGAGTACTAGCCTTGAGCAAAAGAGCTCAGGGACAGTCCCCAGGCCCTAAGTTCAAGCCCCATAAGTGACAAAAAATCAATTATTATGTGCTAACCTTGAGATAGTTCTTTTACAAAATTGGAGGTGGCTAACATCATACATGGGTAATTGGGAACATTTAAGCTGTGCAGATCTTGCAAATGTGGGCATATTTCACCATACAATTTTTAAAAACCTACATTGACTAATCGTCCCACCTAGCTAAAAATCTTCTAATGGGTTTCACATACTGGGTGCTGATAAGCTCATGATAGCATACTTGTTTACCCCAAACTCAAATTTCTATTAGAAATATGTAACATTCTTTGATAACAAATATTACTAGATGCTTTTCCTTAAATGGCAGGCTCATTTTCTTCATTTGAGAAAATGATGGGTAGAACAAGTATGTCTGAAAAGCTAGTGTCTATCACTCATTCTTTCAAGTAAAAAAGTGTTCTATGCAGTTAGCTAGTAATTCAGTAATACACGTCATTTTCTTTAAATTTATCATCACATTTCTGTTTGTAGAAGTGTTTTATGAGTTGTTCCCATTTTATTACAAAGAGTATTATGCACAATTGCTTAAGGACAAAGATTTAGTAAAAAGAACACCTCTCTAGGAGCTGATGACTCATGCCTACAATCCTACCTCCTCAGGAGGCTGAGATCTGAGGACTGTTGTTCAAGGCCAGTCCTGGCAGGAAAATCTATAGGACGTTTATCTCAACTAAACTACCAAAAAAGCAAAAAAAAAAAAAAAGGGCTGGAAAGAAGCTCAGTGGTAAGAGTGCTGCCTTGCATGCATAAAGTCCTGGGTTTGATTCCTCAACACCACATAAGCACACACACAAAAAAAGCCATAAGTGGCACTGTGGCTCAAGTGGTAGAGTGCTAGCCTTGAGCTGAAGAGTTGAGTGACAGCACCCAGGCCCACAGTCAGGCCCCACAACCGACAGAAAAAGGGGAAAAAAAGCAAAGAAGTGAAGTTGTGGCTTTCTCAAGTGGTAGTGGTATCATTGAGCAAAAGAAGCTCAGGGAAAGCTCAGGCACTTTAGGTAAAGCACAAGGACTGGCACCTCCACCAACTAAAAGAACATCTCTGATGAATCAAAAAGATAAATTGCTATTTGACACATTATGATGATGATGGTGGTGGTGGTGGTGATGGTGATGATGTGAGTCCTGGGGCTTGAACTCAGGGCCTGAGCACTGTCCCTGAACTTATTTTGCTCAAGGCTAGCACTATATCACTTAAGCCACATTGCTACATCTAGCTTTTTCTGTTTATGTGCTACTGAGAAATCGAACCCAGGGCTTCATACATGCTAGGCAAGCTCTCTACCACTAAGCCACATTCCCAGCCCCAATATTTGACATTTTTGTACTCAAAGTTCGTGGCAATGAGAAAGATAACGATTACTAGCATAGTCTGGAGGAATTACCCCGATTTGTTGTTAGGTAACAATAGTGTGAATCACCAATAATCTTTACATCTGAATGCAAATGTAAGGCAGTGAAAGGAAACAAAATCAAAATATTAATGTGAATACTTCTGGCCTCATGAATCCCTTTAAAGAGTTTCACAAACCCCAAAGGAACCAGAAATCATGCTTTCAGAATTGCTAGACATCTGAAGGCTATAATTAAATTGTACACAATAAAATTCAATTGCCTTTCTTGCTGGCAATCTCATTTGATACTCACCATTTGTTGATGTTTCTGCCTGTGTACCATCTGCTATCTCTACCTCATTGTACAAGTGAGGAGGAGCAGTTTGGTCTACCAGAGGTGACTCAGAACAGATTGGAAGATTGTCTACATGAAGTTGCTGTGGCTGCATTTGTGGCATGTAGAACATGGAATGCCAGTAGTTATGGTGATAGCACTGGAGCAAGAAAGGAAAATGACATAAACAAATGAACACTTATTGTAAACCTTGCTACTCATGATTGGGAGGATCATGACTTGAAGGAAGCCCAGAAAGAATTCTGGGAGATTCCATCTCAAATAGAACCAATAGAAAAAAACCTTTTCATTTAGATAAACATCATTTTATATGATCATATGTGCATAGCTACTGAACCTTTGTGATCTTCTCCTAAGAATATACTACCATAGTTTCACTATGTGACTGTTAAAAGTCCTGTATGATTTATCATGTCCAAGTGTATTTTTTGTCTTTTACATTCCAATGTGTTTACTTGTACATTTAAAGGTACTTTCTAGTTACAACAAATGAGGGTACACATGCAGCCTATGTTTCTTTGGGTCTGCCTTAGTTAATGTAATTTTTTACAAGTCTTTCCATTTCTTTAAGGATGGTACAATATCATTCTTTCTGATGGAAGCACAGAATCCACTGTGTATATGTGGTGTGTGTGTGTACATATATACATATATATGTACACACACACATTATTCTTAATCCATTCATCTATTGAGGGGCATCGGGGTTGAATCCATATCTAGGCTATGGTAAAAAAAAATGCATGGGGCTGGGAAGGTGGCTCAGTGGTAGAGCACTTGCCTTGCATGCCTGAGGCCCTGGGTTCGATTCCTCAGCACCACATAAGCAAAAAGAAGCCGGAAGTGGTGCTGTGGCTCAAGTGGTAGAGTGCTAGCCTTGAGCTGAAGAGCTGAGGGACAGTGCCCAGGCCCAGGTAGAGTGCTTGCCTAGTATGTATGAAGTCCGGGTTTAATTCCTCAGTATCCTCAGTACTACATACACAGAAAAAGTCAGAAGTGGTGCTGTGACTCAAGTAGAGTGCTAGCCTTGAGCAAAAGAAGCTCAGGGAGAGTGTCCAGGCTTTGAGTTCAAGCTGTGGGACTGGCAAAAAAAAAAGGTGTATATATGCTGGGCCCCGGTGGCTCACAACTTTACTTGTAGTGACTCAGGAGGCAGACATTGGAAAGCCAGCCTGGGTAGGAAAGTCTGTGAGACTCTTCTGTAATTAACTACCAAAAAGCCAGAAATGGTGCTGTGGCTCAAAGTAGTAAAGCACTAGACTTGAGCACAAAAGCATCCAAGCCCTGAATTCAAGCTCCAGAACCAGTATCAAAAATAAAGTGTAAATAATTCATCAATTCTTTAAATTACACTTACAGAAAATATAGAGTTGTATTTTTGAGGAAGATGGGTTTCTAATGATGTGTCAGGTTTTAGGGAAATTAGGAAATACAAAACATCTGAGCATTATCCAGGAGACTATAGTTTATTACAGGCTGCCAAATCTAAACATGCATCTTCTTTTACAGTAAATATGTCAATTTTTTATAAGTCAAATGTATTTCATCAAAGTATACAATAACAGAGCTGTTGTCTCAAATTAGTAACATCTTTCAGTGGTATTAACACACTTGCTAATACCCACATTGCTACAGCTCAGGGGAGTTAAATATGTAAGTGCTTTAAATACACCTACCTGCCAAGCACTGCTGGCTCCCCTGTAATTCTAGCTATTCAGGAAGCTTAGATCTAAGAATCACAGTCAAAGCTAGCCTGGGTAGGAAGGTCTATGAAACTATTGTCTCCAATTAACCTGCAGAAAAGCTGGAAGTGAAGCTGTGGCTAATGTGGTAGCCTTGAGCCAAATAGCTTAGAGACAGGGCGTAGGACCTGAGTTCAAAGCCCCACGACTGGCAAGCACACACATGCACACACAGCTACCTTAGCCAGATATGGTGGCTCACATCTGTAATCCTAGATACTTGGGAGTCAGGAGGATCATGGTTCAAGGCTGGCTTCAGCCATTAAAAAACTAAGTTCAGTGGTGTGTGCCTGTCATACCAACTATCCTGGAAGCATAAATAGGCTGGCTTGGGGAAAAAAGACTCAATTCAAAAAATAACAAAAATAAGAAGGTCTGAAGGTGTGGCTCAAGTGGTACTGCATCTAAATTCAAACCTCAGTACCACATATGTGCGTATATGTATAGTCAAGTATGTTCAACTTGGTCTAACTACTTTTCCTATAAAATACATAGTCACAACAACATTTTAAATAGTAGGGCAATTCATTTAGAATATATAACACAGTAAAGGGTTGGTGTACAGTATTAAATATGAAACTGTTTAATATATGCTACCGCTTAGAGATTAATCCTTACTCTCTTCAAATTAATAATTATTTTATAATAAGAGACACCAAACCAATGGGAGGTTAAAGTAAAAATCTCGCCTACACCATTTTTAGAAAACAATACTGGAATTATAAAAGAAATGTTAACATGGCTCTTACCTGCAATCCCAGATTGAAATAATACTGTAAAACTTTTGTATCTAAAATAAAAAATATTAATTTAGTGGAACTGACTTAAGCAATCACACTATTTAAAAGCCTTTTCTTTGAGCATTATTAGACATCATTATCATCTTCTTACAGTGATATCATCCTCCAGTTTACTTATAAGCAAATGACCATTACTTACCATTATAGTTAAGCTCATTCTCTGTCATAGAAGTCTAATTGCAAAAATACAAATTTTATCTCGAGTCTTAATAGGAGGCAGAATCTACAGGAATTCTATAATGTAAATATATAGAAAAACCTAGAAAAGTATTATCTTGCTTGTCAGAAGAGTACAACTTTATAATAAGCCTACCTTATTAATAAATCTATTAAATATACTTTTGACCAAGTCCAGCAAAAAAACTTCCTGATTCTACATAATACAGTTCAGTTGATGTGGAGAAGCTCAGTAACTTCATCAGTAGTTGTGTTTACATTTTGTTCATCCTGAACATTGGCTGCTTTTCCTTAACTGCTCTTTGGAAACATACCCCAAATACCAAGGGTCAAATATATATAAGCAACCATTTTGGTCCCTGTTACTAGCATTATTATACAATACAAAATAATGATCTACTAATGCTGAGATTAGTTATACCTCTTGTTATTGCTTCTTATGATTAATAAACCACCACAAGAACTTTAAAGAGAAATGAGCATGCAGTGAAGAAGGTAACTTAAAATGGGGTACAGATCATAAGGTGGTTAAAATTTCTCCAGATATTACAATATTTCATAAAAAAATTTATGAGACAAACGCTGATGGTTTACACCTGTAATCCTAGCGAATCAGGAGGCTGAGATCTGGGGATCATGGTTCAAAACCAGCCCAGGCAGAAGAATCCATGGGAGTCATCTACAGAGTTAACTAGTAAAAATCCGGAAGGGGAGGTATAGCTCAGGTGGTAAGAGTGCCAGCCTTAAGCAGAAAAAATGAAGAGCGCAAGCCCCTGGAGTTCAAGCTGTACTACCAGAACACACACCAAAAAAACCCCACCTACATACCTAAATATATAGACTTAGATGTTTGAGGAGAGACTGTCCTTCACATTATTATTTGCTTGTTTGATTTTGGGAGAGAGAGGTGTTGACCCCAGGGTCATCAATGTACTAAACGTATGCATTATGACTGAGCTATATACCGAGTTGTTAGGATCATTCTATTTGTATCTCTAAATTTATTTTTACTGAGTTGCCTAAGGAGCACATTTATTCTTATAAAGATAACATAACCAGAACCCCACTAATAAATTCTCAGAAAAATCTCTATTTTGTTGGAGATTCCCCATGCAAACATATTTACTGTCATTTTAAAAGAAAAGCTTCTACTTTGACTATTATGTGGAAGTCCATTGTAAAGCCAAATGCTCAAGCTAAAGAACATGAAAAAAGAGTAGGAAGACAGTGACATATGATTCTACTTTTAATAAATATACATATCATCACAAAAACTTCCTGATGGCATATCCATATACCACATTTATGATTTAGCTATAAAAACATGAAGTGCTGGTGCCTGCTATAACAAGGATGAACCTAAGACATATGCTAAGTGAAAGAAGCCAGGGACAAAAACAAGTTATTGTTATGATTCTATTTACATTAAATATCTAGAATAGACAAAGCTATAAAAATAGAAAAATGACTAGTGGATGTTAGGGCCAAGTGAAGTAGGGAGTAACTATTAATGTTTATGAAGTATCTTTTGGAAGATAGAAGAACAGATGTCGAGAGAATCTGAGTTAAATAATCACACCAGCAAAATCTTAGGAGTAGAAAACAGGGGCATACAGGTTATAGAATATAAAGTTGGAATGGAGCACAGACTAGATTTACAGCAAGTCTGAAATACCGTATTTAATTTGTTGAACTATATAGGATAAGACAAAGTGATACACATAGCCAAGGTGTGAGATCAACTGAGAAGTGACTAACAGTTCCAAGTTAACACAAAAATCAATTTTATTTTATATACTAGAAAGACAGAACTGAAAAGTCAAAGTTTAAATACTAGATAGGACAGTATCAAATCCCAAACATACAATATATTTAACAAAAGGTGTAGAGAACTATACCAAAAAAAAAGGTGAGAAACCAAATAAAACCTAAACAATTACTAAGACCATACTTTCATGGATTTAAAGAGATAATACTGATTAATGGTAATCCTTTCCAAATCAATCTACAGATTCAATGTAGCCCTATTCTCAGTATTTTTTAGAAAGTAGGGGTAAAAACTGATGAATGAAAATAGAAAGGGCCTAAAGTATCTAAAGCTATCTCGTAGAAAAAAAAAAACTGGGAGAACTTACAGGTTCACCCTACTGGATTTCAATTTAAAATTTTACTACAGAAACAGCTGTGGCAGGGCACCATGGCTCACTCCTGTAATCCTAGCTACTCAGGAGGCTGAGATCTGAGGATCACAGTTCAAAGCCAATCCAGGTTGGAAAGTTCATGAGACTCTTATCTCCAATAAACCACTAGAAAATCAGAAGTAGTGCTATGGCTCAAGTGGTAGAGTACTTGCCTTGAGCTGAAGAGCACAGAGACATCGCCCAGACCCAGAGTTCAAGCCCCACGACTGACCAAAAAAGAAAAATAAAGAAAGAAAAAGAAAAGAAAAGAAACAGCTGTGGACCAGGCACTAGTGGTTTGCACATGTAATTTTAGGTACTCAGGAGGCTGAGGTCTGAAGATCATGGTTCAAGCCAGTCTGGGCAGGCAATTATGTAAGACCTTTTAATTAACCACAAAAAAGATGTGGAGCTGTGGCTCAATTGGTGGAGTGCTAGCATTGAGCAAACACACTCAGGGACACTCAGGCAATGGGTTCAAGCCTTGTACAAGCCAAAAAAGAAGCATACATGTGCACGTGTGCACACACACACACACACACACACACACACATACATGTGGGGTACTAGTTTAAGTATTGAAAAAATAGATCAGAGAGAGCTCAAAAATATGCTAGCACTTTAGTTCTTTCAGCTTTCACCGAAACACCAAAGTAGGGAAAAGAAAATCATTTTGACATATATTTTGGAATACTGGGGGAAAAAAATTCAAAACAACCTCAACCCTTATCTCATATCGTATATTTACATCTTGAGATTAGAACCAAAATATTGAAGATTTTAACAATTTCATGAACCTGTGAAAAAACTTAACAAATAGAGAAAACTTCAATAATGACTCCTGCTTTTCAGGAAAAATAGACAAGTTATGTATTTGAGAATGTTTTTCTGAGTAGCCATGAAGCTATCAAACACAACAAAACCCTAGCATGCATCAACCCAAGCAACCTACTGTTGAATATGTAGAAAACAATCTGTGTTCAGTTGTTCTATTCCCTAGTTATTTCCCTAGCATTTTGCTTTCGACAATTTTCATTTGATTTCTACTGGTAGCTACCACATAGCTGAACCCAATAATATTATAAATTTTTAACTATGAAATATAAATATTATTTATCCAACTCTCAAAAAATATGCTTACCTTGAGGCAGATCACTTCCACTTGGATCACAGGAATAAGGTGGAGGTGGTGGTGGGAGGTTAGAAGCTTCTCCTATCTCAAGAGGGGGAGGAGGAAGTGGTGGAGGAGGAGGTGGTGGTGGCAGAGAGGCTACAGCACCTAGAATAGGCACAGAGTGGTACAGAGAGGATAGTGAAGCAAATATGACAAAGAAAACAATATATATGGGAGGGATAGTTGGGGATGTTGAAAGGGGTGACAAGGATCAAGATTTACTCCGGGCTCAGCCTTCCGAGTAGCTGGGATTACAGGCGCATGCCCGGCAGGATCAAGATTTACTGTATCTATAAACTGCTTTATTGAATGTCAACTCCTTTGTACAAGTACTTAAAAAATAAAAAATAAAGTAAAATTCACAACCATAACATAAGCAGTAGTTTATCTGTTTCATATGTTCCCAGTATGATCAAAGAGCACTTAATTCTTACGATTTGACTTGTCTCTCTCAAATCACAAGATACAGAAACTAAGAGACAACATAGAGTACAAACTTCAGGAATTGCTGAAGATCTTCTGATAGCATCTGAGGAATACAGGAAATTCTAAACATGATAGCTCCATTCTTAAAGAGGTATAGAATCTACAACAAAAAGGCTAAAGACAAATAGATATATGCCAGGTGAATTTGCTCAAACTTTATGGATAAATGATACAACCCTTCATTTTGGCCAGTTCAGAAACTAAATTATCAAATATGATTACTTATTCACTAGAAGATTAAGTCCAGAATGCATTAAATTTAGCATAGACTTAACATTTTGTGATCTGTTTCGGGTTTCTTGTCGTTTGTGTGTGTGTATGTGTGTGTGTGTTAGTTGTGGTGCCTGAAGTCTGGGCCTGCGCACTGTCTCTTAGCTCAAGGCTAGCCATCTACTACTTGAGGCCAAAACCACTTCTGGCTTTTTCTGCTTATGTGGTGCTCAGGAAGCGAACCAAGGGCCTTATGCATGCAAGGAAGCACTCTATGACTGAGCCACTTTCCCAGCCCTGTTGTTTATTTATTGAGATAGTATTTGCTGTAGCTGTCCTTGAGCTCTCAATACTCCTGTCAACCACATAAGTTTTGGAATTATAGACATGTACCACCAAATTTAACTTTTAAGTTTAGAATGACAATAGTCCATATAAGCTGGATTTGTTTGTCTATGTATTTATACTTTCTATATACTTATAAGTTAATAGTAATAAATCTGGTATCTTACAGTAATATTTTGATGAACAATTTTGGCAAAATGATAAAATTCTCTCCTGATTGTGGTGGTAGTTATACAGTATAATGCACGTCAAAATTTGAATAGCTACCAAAAATGAATTTTATTAAAGAACATATTTTTAAAACTTCCATTGTTTTTGTATTGTGATACACATATAGAAATTTCTACTTTTATAGTTTCAGAAGAAATTAATTTTCAGAATATTGACTAATAACCTCTACTTGTATAATTGTTTCGGTGAACTGGCTGTTTCAAACAAAATTGTTCTTAACCCTTTCAAACTAACACTTGAAAACAAATTACACTTTTTTTGGTCCAAGACTGGAACTCAACCTCCATCCCTGATACTTTGGCCCAATGACCAACTGAGCCAGGCTTCCAACCCCCATATAACATTTTTTAATATAAGTCAATAGTCAAATTAGTTGAGGATAGCAGTATGTGATTACGATCATTACGTAAAAGCAACAACTAGCCACAGAAATAATTTAAAAATCATGGTCCTGAGAGAATCAGAGAAAAAATTAAATTAAAGTGATTACATTGTTGGAGTTTACAATCTGGGTAATACTATATCAATAAGCTCTTTAAGAAAAAGCTTTTTATAATTTCCAGTTTCTCTAAAGATGAGTATTTCATCCTGATTTAATAATGGTTTCATAAACTAAATAGGAAATAATGGAAGTAAAACGTTCTTAATCAATGGAAAACTTCATAAAGCAATGGCTTAAAATACTATTTATACACAGGCACTGGTGGCTCAACTCACACATGTAATCCTAGATGATTAGTAAACTGAGATCTGAGGATCATGGTTCAAAGCCAGCCTCGCAGAAAATTCCCTGCAAGATTCTTATCTCCAATTAACCACTCAAAAACTGGAAGTGCTAGAGTGCTAGACTTGAGCAAAAGAGCTCAGGGGTAGTGCCCAGGCCGAGTTCAAGCCCCACAACCACCAAAATAATTACTCCTATCATGATTACTATGGAATTTTTAGCGCCCCTTAAATTTTGTAATAGAGACAAACAAATACTGGTACTGGCAAAAACCATAGGAGTACTTACTGAATTCAAAAGTTTGAAGTTGACAGGATTTAATGACAATGAGAAGACTTACATTAAAAGCAGCCATCCCATGAAGCTACCTTCTCAGATAAGTACTAAGTTAAAGCAAAATGGGAGGGGCCTGAGAGAGACATGAAAGTGAGAAACTCTTGTTTTTTCATTTGGGGGACTGATAAGAGCTACTAAAATGTAGTCAAAAAAAACTAAATCAGACTATCTTTGAGTTGGAAATTATTTAAAGAACAAAATGTAAAATGAAGGCAGCAGTTATTTTTTAGAAAAATATTGGCATTTAAAGGGTACACTTTGAATAATTCAGATAAATGAAGAGTTACAGTGTGTGATTTACCTGTTGTTTGCGTTTTGTAAGCTCAGATTTCTGCTGGAAGCAGCCAACCAATGCTTTTCCCTATATTAGCATCAAGTAGTAAAACCAAGGTCTACAATGACATTTCCAATGAAAAATTTGTATCATTTATAGCATGCCTTTGCTCCAAGTACACAAAGTACTTCTTTATTTATAAATGAAAGCTATATAAAGTAAATCTAATGTTTTACTTAATGCGTTTTTTTTTTTTTTGGTCGGTCGTGGGGCTTGAACTCTGGGCCTGGGAGCTGTCCCTCAGCTCTTCAGCTCAAGGCGAGTGCTCTACCACTTGAGCTACAGCGCCACTTCTGGTTTTCTGGTGGTTTATTGGAGATAGGAGTCTCACAGTCTCTCCTGCCCAGGCTGGCTTTGAACCGCGATCCTCAGATCTCAGCCTCCTGAGTAGCTAGGATTACAGGCGTGAGCCACCAGTGCCCGGCTCTTAATGCGTTATTTTAACGTAAGTATTACTCAGGTCAAGAAATGAAACCTGCCAGGCACTGTTGGCTCCATCTTATAATCACAGCTACTCATAAGCCTGAGATCCAAGGGTCATGGTTCAAAGCCATTCCAGGCAGAAAAGTACAGGTGTTTCTATCTCCAAAATAATCAGTAAAAAGCTAGGCTGAATATGTGGCTCAAGTGATGAGTGCCAGCTGAGAAAATACACACAAGTTTCTGACTTCAAGACCTGATAATACCTCCCTCCCCCCAAAAAAGTTATCAGCTACTCCAGAAGATTTCTATTTGCCCCTCTTAACCATCTCCCTCTCTCACAGTAAAGATTAGCCTGATTTTTTTTGGGGGGTGGGTCCAGTCATGGGGCCTGACCTCTGGGCCTGGGCTATCCCTCAGCTCTTCTGCTCAAGGCTAGCACTCTACCACTTGAGCCACAGAGCCACTTCTGGCTTTTTACTTTTTGCTTATGTGGTGCTGAGGAATCGAACCCAGGGCCTCATGCATGCAAAGCAAGCGCTCTACCAGTGAGCCACCTTCCCACTCCTAGCCTGATTTTTAACAGTAAACACTTCCTTGTGGTTTTCTCCCTGGTTTTCTGACCTAAAAGTGCATCCCTATACAAATTTTTAGTCTAATATATCTTTAAATTCTGATGTCTTGAATCTTTTAAAATTTATTGGTTCTTCTACCATTCCGTTCATGTTTCTTTTACATCCTTTGAGCATACTGAATTTCCCATAGTATAAATTTAGTCCTTTATTCATATAGGTCAATGTGTTTTGTATAGTGAGCATGATCCAGGAGACTTGATCACTCTGGACTGATGCATTTATAGGTATTATCTGACTGTCATTGCAATCTGTTAGTCAGCTCTCATTACTGTAACAAATACGTGGGATAATTACTTCATAAAGAGATTGTTTTGACTCATATTTAGGTTTCACTACATGATCTATCTAGTGGCCTCATTGCTTTCTGATCCTTTTGTGGAAGCAGTACATCATAATGAAAGCATATGACAGAGGAAGCTGTTCACTTCATGGCAGAGAGAGACAGAGAGACAGAGAGATTGTGTTCCACTATTCTGTTCAAGCACATGCCCCCAATGACCTAAGATCTCCCACTAGAACTCTCCTCAAAGTTTCCACCACCTCCCAATAGGACTCATAATGGAATAAGCCTTCAACACAATCTTTGTAGTAGAGAATCAAATGATAGCATAACTTAACAGCTATTAATGTTAATTGTTCATCCATACGATGAGTACAAAATTATAAATTGTTGCTTCTTTATCATTGACTAATTAGAATACTGTTATAAAGAGACATTTCCTTCTCTCATTTGGTTGCCTCGTGGTCACATCATAGAAGAAAAAACAGTTAAATGCTTAATTCTTTCACCTTTTCCAAATGATAAGTGAGTTTGTTCCTTCATCCTTTTCAGATGACTACGTTTTTGTAAAATATTATTAGAAACTTAGAAATTTCACTAATTTGTTATATTCTAATCTACTACAATTATCATTATTGATGCTCATTTTGTCCTGCTAAATGACTGTGGAAACGTCTTTAAGATAGCTCCTGACAGATTGAATGCAATGGCTCCTGCCTGGTATCCCATGGAAACTGGAAATATCACAGTTCTAGGACTCATAGGCGAAAAAGTTAGTGAAACCCCATGTCTAATAAAAAGCTGGCTAAGTGATTTAAAACTGCAATTTCAGTTATATGACAGGTATAAGTAGAATTGCAGTCTGAAGCCAGACCATGCAAGTTTGAAACCATTCTCACATAAAGGGGCTGGGGTTGGGGCTCAAAGACCACCTGCATACCAATCATGAATCTCTGAGTCAAACTGCAGCACCACAAATAAAGATAGCTCCTTTGGGGCCTGGGAAGGTGGCTCAGTGGTAGAGCGCTTGTCTTGCATGCATGAGGCTCTGGGTTCGATTCCTCAGCACCACATAACCAGAAAAAAAAAGCCAGAAGTGGCGCTATGGCTCAAGTGGTAGAGTGCTAGCCTTGAGCTGAAGAGCTGAAGGACAGCGCCCAGGCCCAGAGTTCAGGCCCATGACCGGACCCCCCCCCAAAAAAAAAGATAGTTCCTTTGAAAGCTTCCCTGATATTAAAATAACAGATTCAATACTCAGCTTCAACATGTCCTGCTCAGACCTGGAATTTCCCCACAAGGTTATAATTTTTTCAAGATGATATATGGTATATTAAGACTACAAAAACTGGGTGGCAGGGATATACACTGCTTCTGATAATTATTTTAATTGAAGAGATCTAAAAAATACACTGGTGTTTTGAAGGGTAAAATGCATGTACTACCCCTGAGAATTCTGACTCACAAGACCATAGAGGATGACAAAATTAGAACATCTCATAATTGCTCATTTGTTCTAGCCTATATTATACTCAGAAAAAGGAGAATCTAGATAATAGAAGCTAATGTGATTATTGATGAATTAAAATGTTTTACACACCTTCTCTCAAATTTCCCACTTTGAAAAATAGCTCTATCAGCTGGCTCTCATGTCTACAATCCTAGCTCAGGAAGCTGAGATTTGAGGATCATGGTTTGAAGCCAGCCTGGGCAGAAAAGTCTGTGAGACTTTTATATCCACTAAACAAAAAAAGCCAGAAGTAGAGCTGTGGCCCAAGTGTGAGCCTTTAACAAAAGAATCTCAGGGACAACACCCAAGCCCTAAGTTGAAGTCCCAGAACTGGCACAAAAAGGCTTATCTTCCTTCTCCAAATATAAGGCTATTACATAGTATGTTCTCAACCTCCTAGACCTCTTTATTCTATGGGTATCCATATATTATTGACATTGGTTCTTCTATTATGCTTGTAATTTTCTTTTGGTAATTAAAAACTCAAAAAGCTTATTCCCTAATATACTCTTGTCAAAATAACTTTCTATGATAGTACCAATACTCTGTGTTGTCCAATAAGGGAGTACAAGTGATTTGTGGTTTCTTGAGTACTTGGAAGAGGCTGATGATGTGCGAAATGAAGTTTATTTTATTTAATGCTAAAAACATGTGGCTAGTGAGTATGTTATTTCAAAGCACAGCACTAGCAGATTCTTCCGGGAGTGTTTATGGAAATCTTCTCAGATTTTTATATGCTGCCCCTAATTTCTTCTTATATTTGTTTGTTTAGCTCAAACAACTTTGTCTTTCAAGCCCATAATTTTACTAGACTATACTGGTGCTGCTTGTTCTGAGTGGATGCTCTCTGGTAGATGAATGCTATTTCAGTATGCTTCAAAAATTTTTAAGCTTTTTAAATATCAATCAAGTTTTTTTTGGTATTTATACCTTTGGAGTTTTTGTTTAGTTCTCTTTAGCTTTCTTCAAATGACATCATCACTACTTGATCTCTTTTCGCTTCAGTGTGTCAACTTTGAATTCGTTTTGATTTTCATTCAGTTTTAGATTTCCCCTTACTTATAATTCTTCCTCTGCTTATCAGGCTTCTTACAAACTATACTACTGAAATAATATTTTCTTTCCAAGTCTTTCCTGAATTTTTACTTTGTGAAATTTTCTAATTGTGACCTCTATTATTCAGTAATATTTTACATTATTTTATTAATATCAATCTCATTTTGGAAGTTTTCCTAGAGTTTTTAGTTGGCAAATTTCTGACATGTTTTCACCTTCTCCAATGATACTATTCTGCTTTTTTCCCCTTAAGATATTTGCTAAGCCAGGTACTGATGGCTCATGACTGTAATCCTAAGTACTCAGAGTGCTGGGATCTGAGGATCTCGGTTTGAATCCAGCCCAGACAAGAAAGTCTGTGAGACTCTTATCTCTAGTTAAACACCAGAAAACCAGAAGGAGAGCTATGGTTCTAGGTGGTACAGTGATAACCTTGAGCAGAAAAAGCTCAGGGACAGCACCCAGACCCCTGAGTGCAAAACTCCCCAACTGACAAAAGAAAAAAAAAACTGTTTATAAACTTTTACCTTAAATATTTTTATTTCCTTTTATGAACACTTTTCATAAACTTTTGGATGAGGTGGGATAAATGGTGGCTTTCCTAAATTCATGAACTCTCTTTGATTTTATAGTGTTCAAAAACATATGACTGCAATTTGTAATTCTCCAATGTTAATATGGACACATTCTTTCCCATTCTGATGAATTCTGAGTCCATTCCTATCAGTTTTTTTTTTCCTTAGTGAAAAATACAATCCCAAAAGGGAGCCCTGACAGATCACTTCTGTGAGTTCTAAATGTCTTAACTGTTCTAAGATTTTTGATCCTTTTACTATTTCCCTCATGCACTTAGTATTGGACAGATCAAATCCCTTCCCAGTTTTAGATGCTGCTTTCAAACTGGACACTCTACTTTCCAGTAAAATCTTATTAAATCTTTTAAAAATTAATTCTTAGGCCTATACAGCAACATTCCCTGTACTTCCACACAAACCCTGATAGTGTGCAGGTTTTGTGAATAGTGGTTTTCCTCTATCTGATTAAATTTAGATGTCTAAGAGAATACTAAGTCACCTACTTTTATGCAAGATACTATCTATGGGCTTTGGTTTTGTTAAATCCATTTTCTTATTGGAACTTAGATTGAAAAGCTATCTTGATGTTGTCATCATTTTTCCAGAACTGCTAAGAACTTTAAATTACATTAACTAAAATTCCACAACTACTTCATGAATTGGTATTGTTAGTACTCCCATACTCATACATAATAAAGGATAAACTGTCCAAATGTATACTGTTAAAAAGTTAATGAAACTAGGATTTGATTCCATATCTCTTAAAGATTGGAACCCTAATATTCTTTATTATGACATTCTTGGGGCAATGATTCATGACAAAGGAAACATTTTAAAGCCAACATTCAGAAACGTATCCTATGTGAAACCATGCCTGTGTCAGTTCTTATCAGTAAAATTTACCAGAAGACAATTAAAATCTTGATTCTCAAATCTCATGACTAAAAATACTAATCTTAAATAGGTTAAAAAAGTTTAATTGTGGAAATTAAATCTATCTGATCACCAGAATAGTTGTGTATGCATGTTAATCATCAGAAAAAGAGACTCCCCAAATAAGCAATTGCTTACAACCTACCTGGCTTGCCTTGAGTAGGTGGAGTGACAAATACAGTCTGTATAGAATTCTGCGAAGAAACTGATGACGTACTACTAGATTGATCACCTGCTGCACAGTTAGATAAGACTGGAGCTGGAACATGACCAGGACAGGAATTTTCACTTGCTGTAGAATTTCCTATCACCTACAAAGAGAAGAAAATTCAGAACTCTTAAGTTTGGTTTCTAAAATGGTACTCATTTCTTATCTGCTCCTAAATTTTAGGAAATGTGTATTGATAATTAAAACAAGATGTCAAGCTCTATAAATACTATATAAAGGAAGCTTATTTCTTTGAGAAGATTCTAGTTTGAGATTTTTTTCTGAAAAGATAGTTATTAATATAATTTAAAAATCAAACATCAAGATGTGTACAATGCAGTTTCTCTCTAACCTGATCTTTATCTGCTTAGCAACCTTTTCCCTAAAAGGTAACTTCAGAATTTTCTGAATCCTATTCTAGAGGTATATGATACATTATATGTATATATACACAAAATATGTATTCCCACATTATTTGTGCATTATATATGTACATATGTACATATAAACACATATACTTCATAGTTTCCCACATAGTTTCTTAAGGCAGAACAAGTGTTTTGCATTTTATGGAACTTTGTGAACGCATGAGGTCACAGTTGTTTGGGGCTACAATTTCTACTTAGGCCATATTCTTTAAGAGATCAGACTACCTTCTCACAGCATACAGTATTGAGCTATACACAGAGCTCTTTTTCATGGTTCTAGGGTTTGAGTTCAGGGCCTCTAGCAAGTCCTATACCCCGAGAGTCATACCTGTAGCTACCTATCCTCTTTTATTTTTGTTTTAGATTACTCTCTCTAGATAGGTTTGAGACCTATACAAAAGTATGTAGTTGGATCATAGTCTGAGGGCACTATTCTCCCCCATGGTGGACCTTGAACTATGATCCTACTTATGGCCTATCACATAGCTGGGATAACAGACATATGCCATCATACCTGGGTAAACAGTGTCTTCCTAACTTTTTCCCAGGACAAGGCTTAAACAACAATCTTCCTGACCTTCTAAGTAATCATGTTTACAGGTATGAATTGCCATGCTTGGGAAAGACTATCTGAATGCACTATCCTCACTGGCAGTATCTATTTCTTTTCTTTACCACCCACTTCAATACAGGTTCAGAGTCTTACTAATCTGGCCTCTAATACCACATTTAAAGTCACCACTTATATGCACTAACAACTAACCTTGTTAATCCTCATGCTGCTTGAGTTCTAGGCAGTAAATAATGCTAGACTGCTCACTGAAATGTTCTCTTCCCAAAGCTTCCAACATATTACATTCTCCTGATTTTCCTCCCACCTCCATGTTTATTTGCTCTCTGTTTTCTAAACTTGGCAATTCATACATTTTGTCCTAGACACAATTCTCAATAGCTTCCTTTTCCTAAGATAATTTTACTCATTCTACAGTTTCAGTTACCTTTTTATGCCAAGCATACATTCTACAGAAGAGCTTTAAATTAAGTCATTTTTTTGTGGGGGGGATTGGTTCTGGGGTTTGAACTCTGGACCTGGGCACTGTCCCTAAGCTCTTCAGCTCAAGGCAAGTGCTCTACCACTTGAGCCACTTCTGGTTTTCTGAGTGGTTTATTGAAGAGTCTCACAGACTTTCCTGCCCAGGCTGGCTTTGAACTGTGATCCTCAGATCTCAGCCTCCTGAGTAGAGAGGATTACATGCATGAGCCACCTGTGCAAGCTAATCAGATGTTTTTTACAGGTTAATTTAGTACTGACTCATTCATTATGTAAGAGGTTCACAGCGGCCACAAGCAGTTTTTTGAACTTAATTAACCACTGTACCAGGTACCAGAAGATAAAATACTTTTAGAAACACAAATAGCTGGATAAAGGCAATGGAAAGGAAAAATCCACATCCTCTGTTTGACCCACTATAAAAGATTCCTTGGTAACATGAATATTACCTGCTAGGAGTAGATGTAAGAGGTAACTGTGTCCTAAGCAGATAAGAGAACAAGGTCTTTTGCCGTAAAGAGACTTTAATGAACACAGAAATATAGATGAAAAAAGCGAAATCAAGAAATAAAACTAATTTATTACAATATCTAAATCTAAGTGAATGTGATCTGTTCTGAAATCATGCAAGTTTGGAAATGATTACTATGACAGTAACTTAAAAGGAATCATGACTCTAGCTCCTGGTTTAGGCTACTGCACTGTTCCCTATCCAGGGAGATTCTGCCCAATTGTAGACTGAATCTAGATAGACCAATCATTTTCTCATTGGTCTTTTTTGACTGAAGACATTTGAACACAGTAGGACAAAACAATAATATTGCTAAACAAAATGCTTCTTCTCTCTGGTGATTAAGCAAGAAACAAGACTGGGTTAGCTAACAGTTCAGCTGTATCCTAGCTAAGCAGGATGTAAAGGATGTAGTAAGGTCCAAATACTATTTACTTCTGCTAAAGAACCAATCTTTATAAAACAACTAATCAGGGGCTGGGAACGTGGCTCAATGGTAGAGCGCTTGCCTTGCATGCATGAGGCCCTAGGTTCGATTCCTCAGCACCACATAAGGAGAAAAAGAAAAAAGCTGGAAGTGGCGCTGTGGCTCAAGTGGTAGAGTGCTAGCCTTGAGCTGAAGAACTGAGGGACAGTGCCCAGGCCCAGAATTCAGGCCCCACAACTGGAACCCCCCCCCAAAAAAAACAAAACTAATCAGACATAGGAATGACACACTACTGGAACAGCTAAGAATAAAGGAGTAATAACTGAAAGTTAACTGCATATTAGATGTGTTATGCACTGTAAGCAATATGTAACATGGATTTAATATTGCATTTCTCCAAAGTTTAAGTATAAGCAAATCACCTGTTGAAAACAAAACATCTGTCATGGCTGAGCAAGCCCTGTATGAATGCTTAAAAATATACCTAGCGAAAGACTTCAATGATGAGCATGTAAATAAAAAGTAGAAACTACTTTTCCTGGTTTCTTTCTGTGCCTGGAAATCTTTATTCAAGTCCCATATTGGTACTCTCACTTCAGAATGCTGAAAACAAATGACTTAAAATTTTGTGAATTTGGTGATTGAAGAGTAGAAGTGGAGCCTATCATGAAGATACTTGAAAGCTATGAGAGTATATGATAAAGTTACAATAAAAAGGACCAAGTATCAAGTGAAATTAAAGTGAAAGAAATAAAGTGACCAAGCTTGCCCTCTCTAATCATGAGTCTGTTTTACTTGTCTTTTCTTTCTGGTACTAATTATGTCAGCAGATGGTATAAAAGAAGCATGTGATACGAGAATAAAGTGATGGTTGGGCTGGAAAAAAAATCACTTGTTCTCTAAAAGAGACAAAGTAAGGGAAAAATATAGAGGTGTAAAAGAATTACGCATCTCAAAACTTTTTCTCTTCTAGGGGCTGGGAAGGTGGCTCAGTGGTAGAGTGCTTGCCTTGCATGCCTGAGGCCCTGGGTTCTATACCTCAGCACCACATAAGCAAAAAGAAAAAAGCCGGAAGTGGCGCTGTGGCTCAAGTGGTAGAGCACTAGCCTTGAGCTGAAGAGCTGAGGGACAG